AAGAATACAGGTTAAGGAATAATATAGATAATTAATACTTAGATTATATATATATATATATAATTCTTATTATAATTATTTTATTTATAAATAGCTATTTTATTTCCTATTTTAACCTCTTTTTAATACCTAGAAAAAATTATACCCGTTTTAGGGTACTTATAGTGGGTAATCTTTCCTTACCTACCTAACTGGGTACCTAGACCTACCTATGGGCCTAATTGGGTGGGCTAACATCTGGGTGCCCGTGGGAATTTTAAGCCCTAGACTAGCGAGGTCAACCAAAGTTTGCGATCGTAAGATAGGCAACATAAGATTGACAAAATCCAGTCTTCTAGTTCGTAAAGCCTTTTCCCTTTCGACGTCGGGCGATTCCAAGGCTTCGGACTCATTAACAAGACTCTCTTCTGGCTCAAAGCACTCTGCATCACTATCCTCTTCCTCGCTCGACTCCTCTCCTTCTGAGCTGGTACAGAGTGATTCATCAGATAGGCTTGCTGAGTCTGTGGATATCAGTGCTAAGCCTGAACACACTATGTCAACAATAAGCTTTTTTTTATCCGTTGCTCTTGGATTAGAGAACCTGGATAGTAAGGCCTCAAGAGGAACTTTCGACAGCTTATCAAGTTCTTTTATGGCGTCGGCAAGGACCAAACAATCCTCGATCTTCTCCATGACAGACGAAGCGAACTCAAGTGCATGGTCGGATGATGGAATATTGGTGCTTTCAGTCTTGCCAACGAGCAGCATAATGTCACTCGTTGACCAGCCGTTATCAGTCAGCTGTTTCCACAGCGAAATACTCTCGAGAGTTGTCTTTGGATCTATGAAAATATTCCTGTCTGGGAAGACTGAGAGGACCATATCATAGTCTTTCGCGCGTACTCCAAGTAGCCTGCACATCAGGACATGGCGGTACATCGTGGACAACGTATCCAAGTCGAACGGCGAGGAAGTGCTCAGCCCAGATATGGCCAAGAGGATCTTCAAATCATCCGAGGTTGTCTTCAAAGTCATTGTGAGAGGGGCCGTGTAGAGCTCGATGGCTCCCTTGTCCATCAGATATCTGCCGTTAGAGTCCGGCCTAAAAACTGGATCGTTGCTTAGATAGCTCATCGGTTCAAGGAACGCCTTTTTGTATAACGACTTGTCGCCGTGGGTGCTGATCTGAGCCCAAATTGGGAGGAGAGACATCACTGGTACTTGTGTCAATCGACTCAACTTGGCTATTTGAGCGATATCTTCAAGCACTGATAGTGTGATGCCTCTGAACCCTTCCACGGATGCAATAGCACTATTGGCAATGTGGTTCTGGGTGATGGTTGAAATGACAACGTCAACCTCTGCAATTGTCCACCCTAGCTTATTTCTGAGTCGAATAAAGCCTTGTAGTTCATGACATATCTCTTCTGTTAGATTTCCGATGGGAGCCTCTTTAGAGGAATCTCCTTTCTCGGAACTCGCGGTGTTGTCAAGAAGTCGGAGTCGCATTTCCGAGAGCTGCCCGTCGAACACCTTGGAGCCTCTGCTATTGACGATCACAAGCTTCCTGCCGAAGAAAGTAGTGTTCAGAAGCTCCAGCAGTTCCTCAAGTGACAACCCTGAGCGAGGGAGAAGTTGGTCTCGTATGAAACCAAGCCCTGACTGATTGTGCTCGGAAGGGTCAAGCATTCCGTCAACAGTGTCGTACCCCCAGCATTCGTTGACCGTAGGAATCGATCTATCTCGAAGAAGTACCTCTTGAACCAAATCTTCTGGGCAGAGGCCGACCAGTAGATCTAAGAAGGTATCCGTCAAGATGGTCTCTTTACAAATAGCGGCAAAATCGCTAGGTAGCATATGTAAGGTCTCGGCAACATCGAACCGATGCCACACACTATTTGCTTCATTTTCCAGCTCTTTTCGTGATTTTGAATCGCTCGGAACAAAGTTGATGAGCTGTTTCAGCATGAAAGTTGTTGACTTGAAATTCGCACGCACGTCTAAAGGCTCGATTCCCATCGAAGAAAGATAGACTCTGACTGAGTCTTCGCCCAAGTCATACGGAAAGCGGTTCAAGGGAAACATTGCTTTGGAGATTTCTTCCCCACATGAGGTGGTCACCCGTCGTTCTTCTTCGTTGACCTGGTCTTGGTGTGTTGAGCTCTCCTCCTCATCAACGGCATTGATAGACCCTCCGTCACTAGCAATATATGAAGCCATGATCTCATTGACGATCGTTATATACGGTACCATGTTCTTGCTGTTCGCGCACGAAAGTTGTAGCTTTTGCAGATCTGGACGACGAAGAGCCAATGCTTTAAGCACATTGTCGGCTCCATTGACCGTTTTGGTGCAGCGGCTGTGTTCCAAGAACTTGAGTAGGTCAACGAAATAGGCCGATGCGCTGACGATAGAGCAACACTCCTCGCATGGAGTATCTTGCAGATCGAAAATGCTTGTCATGTTGAAGTCCTTCTTACTCAGGTCAAGGACTGTAGAAGATTGCTCATCGGGTAGCGTTGGCCGAATGAGCTCTTCTTTTCCAACATCTGCAATGGCCTTTTCGGTGGCCATGAAGTCTTCGTTGATCATGGTAAGCAGGTTTACCCAGGTTTCTTGACTCCGACAAGCGACTACAACCGCATGGTCGTGGATTTTGAGTGCAGCCTCCTCATTGAGACGCTTCTTCATGTTCTGGACAAACTCCTTTCTGGTGGTGGAAGCAATATCTTGTGCAGACTCGAATTTGAGGTCTAGGAGATGTTTTATATGTTGTGGCTCTGTAACCAGATACTGAAGTCTTTGTAGTGCCATGATTCTGTTCAGTACTACCCCAGGACGGATCTTGCGGCCTCCGTCTAATTGGTTAGTCATTATGGTATAATGTCTAAGTTGTTAGCTAGATGTGTTATTTACAGTCGCGGCTTGTGGCTGAGAGCTTAAATCAGCAGACAGAACTTAGCGGCCTCCGTCAACAGAGTCGAAGAATTCCTTGGAAGTGATTTTTTTCTTGAACACATCCGAACCGATCGATACCTCATTGTTGATGGCCCATTCTAGAGCAAAACCAATAATGTCGTTCCAGGGCTTATCGAATAGGATTTCATTCGCCTTAATGGAGGCAAGCAGCACAGCCAGTGGTTCCTTCAACATAAGATGGGCTCTGAAGTGCACGAGGGTATCCTTGTTGATGCAAGGTAAATCTTTTAGATGGTAATTTTCGGTTGCGACTTTGCTGAGGCTGCCAGGAAGTGGATATCGTTGCAGGAAGTAAGATGCCAGCAGCTCGTCCTCTTGCGCTGCATGAAAGATCTCCCTCACCCATTGAAGTGATTTGACATGATCCAAGTTTAGACCGCCTTGTCCAATAACAAATTCAATAGCATAAATGATATTTTCTTGAGTCTCAATGGCCGTCTGAAGCCGAGTGATCAACGCATCATCCCCACTAAACATCGAGGCAATCAACGCCGCGACTTGTTCCTTCGCTTGCGTGCTTTGCGACATTGTGACAAAAGTAACTGATACTGTGGATTGGGTATCAAGGAGACGATTGAGATGATCTTCGATAGAATTGTATAACGATGCGTAGCAGATTTGTCTGTTAAGGCCCTGATCGATATAATATATACGGATTACTATAAACGGATTATATATAAAGCTATTTCTAAATAAGCCTAGCTTAGTAATAAATTATTTATTTAAAGGATTTACTTAAAGATCTATATTCTTAAGATATACTTCCTTTACTATAAACCTCTTTAAGTAAGGTTACTATATAATTAAGGTATATTTAATATATTTTTTATTATATATAGCTTTACTAAGCTAAAGCTATACTATATATAGTTTCCCTTACTATATATAGTTTACTATATATAG